ATGCCAAATGAGTGTTGGTGTGTGATTTTAGCGGAAAATCCTTTGCCCCTAACTCTCCTCTCCCACTATTACCCCCACCCCGTCCTCCAGCTTCTCCTCTTTTCCCATTTTTTTTCCTCCACCCTCTTTCTTTTTCTCCGACTCAGTCGTTTTTCCCCTTACACCACCACTTTTTCTGAGTAAACCAAAACGAACGCAAGATAAACACCCGGTCTACAACATCTTCGCGGTCCATACCTAATTTTTATGGCGCTTAAAGGGGAGGAGGATGGACAGAGCTGGAATTAAAGCTGTCTGTGCATGTATTTATGTGTTTATGTATTTGTATGTTTGTGGTGCGTGTCGCGGGGGTGTTGGCCAAAATCCTCTCATTGAGATGGTCATTCCATTAGAGGGTCGCGTGTCTCTCTTGCCTCACGGGAGCGTGTCTGTAATGAGGGCCTACACGCCAACAGGAGAAAGAGAGAGAGGGAGAGAGGGATAGAGAGGGAGAGAGAGAGAGAGGAGAGAGAGAAGGGGGGGGGGAGAAAGAAGACGTAATCCATCTCCGTATTTATGACCCGTGCGTTATTTGATGACGGCGCACAGAGGCGGATGGGCTGCTACTGCTGCTGTTGCTGGAGGTCAGCCTACCGCTGTCTGTAGGCCGTTGGTGTTGGATTGCTTTGCTCCTCCCCCGGCCGCCCCCGCGCTGCGCTGACGTCATACTCCCGAGGAGCGAACGTCATCCTGGTAGCCTCACCTCACCTCGGTACACGCCCTGCGGGCGGGGGTGTATGGCACCTTTTAGAGCAGTTTAGAATGCAAAAGGCGCTCTTTTTTTGTCAGGGCAAAATAAAGCGTCGTCGTGTCGTCGTTTGTGTTTACTTTAAATTAAGAGGAAGCAGCCAGCACGGAGGTGTCTTTTTTAGTACTTTGTTGTTTTTCTTTTTCGTTTCCCAACGAAGTTCATTTATGGAGGGCATATCGGACGGATGGCGTCGGGGGATTGCAAGTGAGTGCGGGCCGGGGTCACGCGAGGTGCATCACAATGAGGTGTGCGGCGCGAAGGGAGCGCGAGCTGGGAATCTGCACAACAATTCGATACGTGACAAGCGAGGCGGCTGCTGCTGCACCGTGCTCATCGGTGACCCCCCCCCCCCC